CAGGTCAACTGCTAAGCCAGGTTACCTCTAGAGCTGCCGACAGGGCTCCCTCAGGTTTACCTGGGCCCAGTGCCTGCCTCCATGCTGCCTACTCTGCCACTCTGAGTCGCGTACCCGGCACTCAGCCCAGACTGCCCTAACAGATGTCCTTTCTCCAGCTATCTCTGTGGCATATCCTCACGTCCTGCTGGTACTTAGAAGTCACCAGGGGACAAATTCACGTAGACCTTACCAAAAGTAGGTTCTCTTTGTGCTTACTACCATTATTATTTTTTACTACTGAAGCTGGGAACCTTCAGTAATCAAGGCAACTTGTTCCTTTTCTCCTTCCACCTGTCCCTCTGTCCCTCCCTCTCTCCACTCACTCCCTTTCAGATCAGTTCTTTTATGTGAATGTGCCTGCCTGAACATTTCTTGTGCACCCTCTTGTGCACAAGAGGCCTAAAGAGGGTGTCAGATCCCCTAGAACTGGAGTTACAGATGGTGGTGAGCCATTATGTAAGTGCTGGGAACCCAACCAGGTCTCTGGAAGAGCATCCAGTATCCAGAGGTCTCAACCGCTGAGTCATCTCCCCCTAATACCCTGCTCTGCCATTTCTCTTTTGATAAAAAGTGTCTCGTGTAATTCAGGCTGGCTTTAAATTCCAGATATGGCAGGACAGACCAGAGGAATGCAGGGCACAGGACTGTCTGGGAATGTTCTAACCCTCTGGGTCTCACCTGGGGTTTAGTACATTCACTTGGGCCGGCTGGGTTGGAGTCACAGAACTAGGTCTGCTTCTTTTTTACAGTCAGAATACAGATGCTTTGATGTGGGTAACTGGCCCAAGACAACAAACATGGTGAACAGGGGGCAGAGATGAGACCAGAGCCCTGTGTCCCAGTTCCAACCATACTGGGCATTGCAGGAGACCCCGGGACCTCTTTGGCATTTGCTTGTTTATTGTGTGTGAGTGTATGATGTGTGCATCACATGACACAGTGCACATGCAGAAGGCAGAGGACAGCTTTGTGGAGTGGGTTTTCTCTTTCCACTTTTACAAGCAGTCTGTAATTGAATTCAGATTTTCAGGGCACGTGTGACAAGCACCTTTATCTGCTGGGCTCTGCTGCCCTTTGGTCTGATTTTAAATGGGGGACTTGTATATTACTTAATCAAATTTTTAGGTAGAGTTATTTATTTACTGCTAAGAATGGAGCCTGGGGCCGGGCAGTGGTGGTGCATGCCTTTAATCCCAGCACTCGGAAGGCAGAGGCAGATGGATCTCTGTGGGTTTGAGGCCAGCCTGGACCGTAGAGCGAGTTCCAGGATTGGCTCCATAGCTACTGAGAAACCCTGCCTCAAAAAACCAAACCAAACAAACAAGAATGGAGCCTGGGGATTCCCACCCAGCGCTGGACCACTGAGTCACATACCAGCTCCTACTTTCTTTTTTATAATCCCTTCCTGACTCCCGTGCTTTAACCACCATGCAGATAAACTTGTTTTTCTCAATATTTGTGCAGGTCTAGAAGCATGAAACTCGGAGCTTGCTTCATCAGCGGAGATGTGTATCTCTGTATCTCTGTGTATTTACCGAGAAGGCAGGTGTGTTTCAGATCGTCAGCATCTCTCCAGGACAGGTGGAGGGAGGAGGCTGGCGTTTCTAGGCAGCTCGTGGCCCATCTCCTAGAAACACTCCCAGGTGACAGTGAAGTCTACCTCTGTGACTTCGTGGACAGTCACAGAACCTTCTGTTTGCCTTCACCCAGTGTGTCCTCGGCAGCGGGCCAGACTGCTTAGAGGCTAAACAGAATGCACATGGTATATTTGTAGTAGGCAGTTCAAGACATTTCTTCTCCAGCAGAGACAGATGGATGGAAGCTGCAGCCCGGGGAAAACATGTGCCTCAGGAGAGCCATGAATGCAGCCTGACACAGAATTCTAACTTTAGTGTGGTACTGCATATCTTTTCAGCACTTGGGAGGTAGAGGCAGGCAGATCTCCAGGACAGTCAGAGCTGCATAATAAAGACTGTGTCTCAAAAAACAAATAAATAGAAAACAACAAAACCTCCAGAATTGTAAGTAACTAAAATATTAAAGAAGCAAATGCTGTGACTCAGTGGATAAAGGCACGTCTTTCTAAGCCTGATGACCGGAATTCAGTCCATGGGACCCACTGTGGCATGAGAGAATTGGACTCTGAAAGCTGTCTCAACCTCCATATTCATGCATCACATGCATAATAAATAATAAATGGAAAAACAAAAACATGAGCATTTGGGTTTTTTGTTTTGGTTTGTTTTGTTTTCCGAGACAAGGTTTCTCTGTGGCTTTGGTGCTTGTCCTGGAACTCGCTCTGTAGACCAGGCTAGACTCGAACTCACAGAGATCTGTCTGCCTCTGCCTCCCAAGTGCTGGGATTAAAGGCGTGCGCCACCACCACCCAGCTTGGTTTGGTTTTTGAGCAGTTGTCTTTTCCAGCTCAGCAGCCAACGTCCACTCTTTTCTCGTGTACCTTTTCCCCCCTTTCTTTTGGTTTTTTGAGTCAGGGTTACAGTCCTGGCTGTCATGGAACTTGCTCTGTAGACCAGGCTGACCTCAAGCTCACAGAGATCCACCTGCCTCCCAAATGCTGAGATTAAAGGCGCGTACCACCAGCTTTTCTTAAACTTAATTTGCTGCATGACACACCACAGCTCCCGACACCACTAGCATAAATGAAGAGGCGTTGGAAGTTGAAGGAGAGAAGTGGGTTTTTTGTTTGTGTATCTTATTTTTCATTAATATTTTTGGAGGTGCCTGCTGCAGAGGTGATGGGTAGATGTGGAGGGACTAGGAGGTGAGCAGGATTAGGGTGCTTGATGTGATGTGAAATTTCCAAAGAATCAATAAAGTATTGTTTAAAGTAAAAAAAATTAAAAACCCTAATTTATTCTTTTTGGAGTTTTTGTTTTTTGTTTTGCGTTTATGACAGGGTTTCTCTGTGTAGCTCTGGCTGTCCTGGAACTCGCTCTGTAGACTAGATTAGCCTCAAATTCGGAGATCCACCTGCCTCTGCCTCTTGGGCACTGGATTAAAGGTGTGTGCACCACTCCTGGCAAATGTAATTTTTATGTGTGTGTGCATGTATACTGCATGTATGCTTGTGCCCACAGGGCCAGAAGAGGGCATCGGATCCCCTGGAGTGTTATAGGCAGTTGTGAGCCACCTGATGTGGGTGCTAGGATCTGAATTCTGGTCCTCTAAAGAGCAGTAAGTGCTTTCAACCGTTTAAGTCATACAGCACCACCATGTTCCTTTTCTTAGTAAATTGCTTCAAAAAAAACCTCGTTTGTGCAGTTGTTGAACTTGTTGCAATGTCAAAAGGTTGGCTATCTGGTGGAAGGAAGTGTTCTCACTGGGTGAGAAATATGTTTACCTGGTGGCTTACCTTCCAGGACTGAAACTCTGCCTTGGCCAGGTTCCCTGATCTTGCAATCCAAACTATATCCCACACTTCCCATGGGTGTGGACTCAGTGGTCTTCAAATTGATTCCATTTTCCACAGTGGCCTGCTCAGTTGGGTTTCTTTGTCACCCTCTGCCATTCAGATACTCCTTTTATAGGGATGAACGGACAGTTGGCGGGCCGTGAACTTGTGGGTTACTGGTCCCAGAAGGGAGTCTGTGGGACAGGACTCCTGGCCTTTCTGAACTATCTCAGGCAGCTGTGACCTGAGGCAGTTCACATGAGTCCCTGGGGGAGGCATGCCACACATGCCTCCTTGGCACCCAACCTAAGGTTCTGCCTGAGGTTTGCTAGGAATGTAGAGGAGACGAAGGTCACAGAAGACAAGCTGGCAGTCTTTGGTGATAAAGGCAGACTCTGGGAAGGAGTACTGGCACGGAAGAACAAACCTCTGGCCTAGGCCTAGCAAAGCCTGCCTTGCCACTGCCTGGCTACTCTGCCTCTCAGAGGTGACAGCTCTTAATGTGCAGGAGGCAGAGGCGGGATAACTCCTAAACTGCCATGACCGACTGCCTTAGTTAGGGCTTCTTTTTTTATTTTTTCTCTTCCTTCCTTCCTTCCTTCCTTCCTTCCTTCCTTCCTTCCTTCCTTCCT